AAAACCTTCGAAAATAACTCATGATATTGAGGAATCTAAGTTAGGAACATATTTTTTCGAATTCAGCTACTCGTACAGAAACTATCTGTCTTTTATTTTCGCCATGTACCTATCACATGATCTTCCCATTTGGAGTAATAAAACTAAAATTGTTCCTCTTATACGATGATCCACAGGGCTATCAGTCTATTTTTTCATAATTATTTCACTTAGTAGGCGGTGTACCTACACAAAATGTTTTATGTGTTTGACAGTTAATCGATTGCATCAATAATTTTTCTTCTTCATTTGTGTGTTGATTGAAATTGCATATTAACAACATATCGACTTTTTCGTTTCTTGAAAACATTTAGGTTGGGTTACTAGATCTGGTAACATATCTTAGGTTAGGTTACTAGATCTAGTAACATATCTTAGGTTGGGTTACTAGATCTGGTAACATATCTTAGGTTAGGTTACTAGATCTGGTAACATATCTTAGGTTAGGTTACTAGATCTGGTAACATATCTCAGGTTAGGTTACTAGATCTAGTAACATATCTTAGGTTGGGTTACTAGATCTGGTAACATATCTTAGGTTAGGTTACTAGATCTGGTAACATATCTTAGGTTGGGTTACTAGATCTAGTAACATATCATAGGTTGGGTTACTAGATCTGGTAACATATCTTAGGTTAGGTTACTAGATCTGGTAACATATCTCAGGTTAGGTTACTAGATCTGGTAACATATCTTAGGTTGGGTTACTAGATCTGGTAACATATCTTAGGTTAGGTTACTAGATCTGGTAACATATCTTAGGTTGGGTTACTAGATCTAGTAACATATCTTAGGTTGGGTTACTAGATCTGGTAACATATCTTAGGTTAGGTCACTAGATCTGGTAACATATCTCAGGTTAGGTTACTAGATCTGGTAACATATCTTAGGTTGGGTTACTAGATCTGGTAACATATCTTAGGTTAGGTTACTAGATCTGGTAACATATCTTAGGTTGGGTTACTAGATCTAGTAACATATTTAGGTTGGGTTACTAGATCTGGTAACATATCTTAGGTTGGGTTACCAGATCTGGTAACATATCTTAGGTTGGGTTACTAGATCTAGTAGCATACCTCAGGTTTGGTTACTAGATCTGGTAACATATCTTAGGTTGGGTTACTAGATCTAGTAACATATCTCAGGTTGGGTTACTAGATCTGGTAACATATCTTAGGTTGGGTTACTAGATCTGGTAACATATCTTAGGTTGGGTTACTAGATCTGGTAACATATCTTAGGTTAGGTTACTAGATCTGGTAACATATCGATCAATGTCTGCAGGTTGTCAATAGTTTTTGTTTGAGTCAAGATGAAAACCTTCGAAAATAACTCATGATATTGAGGAATCTAAGATAGAAACATATTTTTTCGAATTCAGCTACTCGTACAGAAACTTTCTGTCTTCTATTTTCGCCATGTACCTATCACATGATCTTTCCATTTGGAATAATAAAACTAAAATTGTTCCTCTTATACGATGATCCACAGGGATATCAGTCTATTTTTTCAAAATTATTTCACTTAGTAGTCGGTGTACCTACACAAAATGTTTTATGTGTTTGACAGTTAATCGATTGCATCATTAATTTTTCTTCTTCATTTGTGTGTTGATTGAAATTGCATATTAACAACATATCGACTTTTTCGTTTCTTGAAAACATTTAGGTTGGGTTTACTAGATCTGGTAACATATCTTAGGTTAGGTCACTAGATCTGGTAACATATCTCAGGTTAGGTTACTAGATCTGGTAACATATCTTAGGTTGGGTTACTAGATCTGGTAACATATCTTAGGTTAGGTTACTAGATCTGGTAACATATCTTAGGTTGGGTTACTAGATCTAGTAACATATTTAGGTTGGGTTACTAGATCTGGTAACATATCTTAGGTTGGGTTACCAGATCTGGTAACATATCTTAGGTTGGGTTACTAGATCTAGTAACATACCTCAGGTTTGGTTACTAGATCTGGTAACATATCTTAGGTTGGGTTACTAGATCTAGTAACATATCTCAGGTTGGGTTACTAGATCTGGTAACATATCTTAGGTTGGGTTACTAGATCTGGTAACATATCTTAGGTTGGGTTACTAGATCTGGTAACATATCTTAGGTTAGGTTACTAGATCTGGTAACATATCGATCAATGTCTGCAGGTTGTCAATAGTTTTTGTTTGAGTCAAGATGAAAACCTTCGAAAATAACTCATGATATTGAGGAATCTAAGATAGAAACATATTTTTTCGAATTCAGCTACTCGTACAGAAACTTTCTGTCTTCTATTTTCGCCATGTACCTATCACATGATCTTTCCATTTGGAATAATAAAACTAAAATTGTTCCTCTTATACGATGATCCACAGGGATATCAGTCTATTTTTTCAAAATTATTTCACTTAGTAGTCGGTGTACCTACACAAAATGTTTTATGTGTTTGACAGTTAATCGATTGCATCATTAATTTTTCTCCTTCATTTGTGTGTTGATTGAAATTGCATATTAACAACATATCGACTTTTTCGTTTCTTGAAAACATTTAGGTTGGGTTTACTAGATCTGGTAACTTATCTTAGGTTAGGGTCCCTTGATGGAAATTGACGTTAAAGTCATCTTAACAGGGTACGGACAGATCCTCGTCTCCTCTCACTCTAAAGCGTTTGTGAAACAGTTATATAGTTCCATCCTTATTCAATTCTGGGGATAAACACTAGATTTTTGACATTCGTTGTTTTTTAGGTTATATTGAGGTCACTGGCGTATCATACGTAATTTCCATATGGAATTCCTGATTCAACTATACCAAGATATAGATGAACAATCCTCTAGTTTTAGAGTTTACTACTCCAGCATAATCTCTGCGAGGTAGGGAACATATAAATTGTACTGAAAGCTTATAATGTATTTCACCAAAAGGGACTGTTCTTAGACTGTATACCAGGGTTGACTGAATTGACTGAATGAATTCTGATTTCAAGCTGAGCAGTAGTTTTTCTATGAGCTGAATGAGCAGAGCCTTATGATTGAGAAATGGTGGAAACCTCGATGTGGGTAGCTAAACTACTGCATGTATACTCATGTCATATTTTCGGAAATCCAACTCGGAGAAGAATTTATGGAGTTACTAATATCACACTATGTACAAAACTTCGTCTAGGATGAAAAGTAGGCTGATTAAAATAGATACGTAAAATATGTAGTAAAATAAAGAAAAGAATATACTTCACTTCATTTTTTCGTCTCCCTTGAATAAAAAGTCATTTTCGAATAATTTATTGATGAAAGTAACAAAGAAGTAGGTATGCGCAGTATAACTTATAGGCACGCTATTTTCACTCTTGCATCCTACATATTTTCTATTTGTGGTAGAGTAATAATTATATAAAATAATGTCTTTTGCCATATTGGATCCGTCATCTTGAATTTCCCAATTTTTACGATACAATCATTATCTCCTACCCCGAATAACCCCAGACACCAGTTTTAAATAGAATCGGATCTTCATTACAAAACAATCCACCATATTGGATCCGCCATCTTCAATATCCCAATTCTGACGAAATAATTATAATCTCCGATCCCAGAAATCCCCAGATACCAATTTTAATTTTTATTGGATCCGCTATCTTGAATTTCCCAATCTTCACTAATCATAAAGGTCGACCCCGAAAACCCTCAGATATTAATCTTAAATAGAATCAGATAATAATTAGAAATTTCTTTCGCTACAAATTGGATCCGTCATCTTGAATTTTCCAAGTTTGACGAAACAATCATTATCTCCAACCCCGAAAAACCCCAGATATCTTCCAATTTTGAATAGAACCGGATCATAATTACAAAACTCGTTTGCAATATGATCTTCCTCAACAAGTGAATACCCTGTACATACCTATTATTAAAATTTAGAATGATTTTCTGTAGCGCCCATGGATGTGAGGTGACAGCAGTGTCAGGGATGCCAGTAGACAAAACTGAAGTCTCTAGATCATTAAAAAAGAATGCAGCTATGATCTGTCCGTACCCTGTTAGATGACTTTAACGTCAATTTCCATCAAGGGACCCTATCTTAGGTTAGGTTACTAGATCTAGTAACATATCTTAGGTTGGGTTACTAGATCTGGTAACATATCTTAGGTTGGGTTACTAGATCTGGTAACATATCTCAGGTTAGGTTACTAGATCTGGTAACATATTTCAGGTTAGGTTACTAGATCTGGTAACATATCTTAGGTTGGGTTACTAGATCTGGTAACATATCTTAGGTTGGGTTACTAGATCTGGTAACATATCTTAGGTTAGGTTACTAGATCTGGTAACATATCTTAGGTTAGGTTACTAGATCTGGTAACATATCGACTTTTTCGTTTCTTTTTCCGTCTCTATTGATAATATGCAATTTTAATCAACACACAAATGAAGAAGATAAATTATTGATGCAATCGATTAACTGTCAAACACATAAAACATTTTGTGTAGGTAGCTATTGGTTTACTAATGATATTTAAATTTCAAAGCCTACCAAGTGTCAATATATCATTGAATTCATGTCACAGCCAACTTATTCTTTTTGAATAAAAAGCAATTCGAATCAAGGAATAAATGCCACTTTGTGATACATGGTTGGATAGAGAATTCCAAGGCAAAAAAGATAGACTGAAGAAATATACAGGGTGACATTTAAAAAAAAAGTTGGGGTCACTTCCGGACAAACAGGTGGTTGAAAAAGTTTTTGAATGACCAAAATTAGTTGAGAATTACGAGGATAAAGGGGGGATGACACATTTAAGTGGGACACCCTGTACATAATACAATCCCAATATATTACCTATACAAACAGTGTGCTAGATAATATAACTGCTGAGACATTCCTCTCAATAACCAAAACGTATTTTCACCTGTACCTACAGGGTGGAGCAAATAATTAGGAGTTGGAAGTTATTTCTGAAAATATCAAATACCTGGCGGAGGTTGGACCGGCGCTCCTGTATACCTGAAGTAAGGATTTTTCAGATCCAAAGTGTTCTTGGACGTCTGTGTGGTACCCTCCACTGTCAACTCCATTGTCACATCATAACTCTGTCTTTTATTAGCTTCCAGCAATACCCTACCAGTCAGTACTTGCCCCTGTTTCAACAGAAGAGGCTGCTCCAGCAAACACCTATAGATACCCAAACATTCATTGGAAGAATTTCAACATTTGTTCTATTACAAAAGTTTGATGACAGTTTGTAAAGAGAAAATGAAATTATCTCATGGAAAATAGGTATATCAACAACAAATTACTTATTTATGAGGCTGTGAAATTCATAATAGTTTCATCACTTCAGGACAGCTTCAATTATTATAAGAATTATTTTTTTCTCCGATCGGCAGCATATATTAATTTTGCTGACACATATCAATCAGCAAAGTATTACTTTTCCTGCCTAGGCAGCAAAGTGGTTACTTTGCTGATTGATATATATCAGCAAAATTAGTAATCCCTAAATCGTTTATAATTTCCTTCATATTTCATCCGAGACTTCTCCGGCAACAAATTCAACTCTATATTTTTTGCCACCTCCCTTATTTCTGGAGGTGTAAGTACTTCCAGATCGCTATCACTGTCCATTATATAATAATTTAAATATACCGATATTTTTTCGGACAACTGTCAGAATTTTCATGAATTGTCAAACTATAATTACCATGGACAACTGCGATTTCTATCAAATTTCATTTTAATTGAACACTACAGGAAAAATAAAGAGATTGTGGGAATTTTAATAATTTGCAATTACAATATCCTCCTATATCATTATAAACAATCGGAGAAAAAATTATATGTATGTTCAACTCGGCAGCAAAGTAGATTGACTGCCTTAGCTGGATTCCTAGCTAGTAATTCAGACTCGGCAGTTAATCTACTACTTTGCTGCCTAGTTAAACAAATAACTATTTTCTGAGAACAGGAATATTTAGAAAATTTCTCCTCACAGGAATTTTCTTAATATTGCTGTTGGAGAAGAAACTTATGGTTTTTAATTGAAGAAAGAGTTGTATTAGCTAAGAACATTCACACTGAGATATAGAAAAATTAGTAGATTACTTTAATTATGAAAAATATTAGTGAGTAGTTTGTCAATTTCTGCAAGGAAGAATTTTTTTAATTGAAGCAAAAGTTGTATTAGGTAAGAAAATTCACACTGAGATATTATTGACAAAATAGTAAATTACTTCAGCTATGAAATATATTGATGAGGCAGAATTTTTTTTTGACAACAGGAATATTCAGAAATATCTTTCTCAAAGAAATTGAAGCAGGAGTTGTATTAGGTGAGAAAATTCACACTGAGATATTGAAAAAATAGTAGATTACTTTAGTTTTGAAAAATATTAATGAGGCGGAATTTTATTTTGACAACAGGAATATTTAGAAAACTCTTCCTCACAGGAATTTTCTAAATATTCCTGTTGGAAAAGGAACTCATGGTTTTTAATTGAAGCAAGAGTTGTATTAGGTAAGAAAATTCACACTGAGATATTGAAAAAATAGTAGATTACTTTAGTTATGAAATATATTAATGAGGCGGAATTTTTTTTTTACAACAGGAATATTTAGAAGATTCTTCCTTGCAGGAATTTTCTGAATATTCCTGTTGGAGAAAAAACTTATGGTTTTTAATTGAAGCAAGATTTGTATTAGGTAGGAAAATTCACACTGCGATATTATTGACAAAATAGTAAATGACTTCAGTTATGAAAAATATTAATGACCAGAATTTTTTTTGGACAACAGGAATATTTAGAAAATTCTTCCTCACAGGAATTGAAGCAGGAGTTGTATTAGGTGAGAAAATTCACACTGAGATATTGAAAAAATAGTAGATTACTTTAGTTATGAAATATATTAATGAGGCGGAATTTTTTTTTTACAACAGGAATATTTAAAAGATTCTTCCTTGCAGGAATTTTCTAAATATTCCTGTTGGAGAAAAAACTCATGGTTTTTAATTGAAGCAAGATTTGTATTAGGTAGGAAAATTCACACTGAGATATCATTGACAAAATAGTAAATGACTTCAGTTATGAAAAATATCAATGACCAGAATTTTTTTTTGACAACAGGAATATTTAGAAAATTCTTCCTCACAGGAATTGAAGCAGGAGTTGTATTAGGTGAGAAAATTCACACTGAGATACTATTGAAAAAATACTAAATCACTTCAGATATGCAAAATATTAAAAAGGCCAAACCAAACCAATATTCTTGACTAACTTTATTTCACTGAAGTTGGTGGAAACATATTTTGTTACAAGGAACTTGAAGCAACATGTAGTCAGATGTAGTATTGATAAAATTCACATCCATAACATTGTTAGGTTGAATAAAACACAATTAACTTACTTTAGTTACACAACATTATAAAAAATAAGTCAGTAGTAGCTCAATTTCTTAGTTTTTCACAAATTCATTCAACTAAAGTTGGTAGAAATATATTATCTCACAAGAAACTTGAAGTACTATTTAATATCAATGTAATTTGCTCTTGTGATATTATTTTATTATATAAAATATAATTTAAGTACTTTAGTTAAATGAAATAATAAAAAGTAAGTGAATAGTAGCTCAATCTCTCTCTTTTTTACAAATTCATGTTACTGAAGATGAAAGATATATTTCTTATAAAAATTTGAAGAAATCCTGTGTAATTTCATGACCCTTCTCCCAAGGGAGAAAAAGTTCCTGGAAATTTGTTTAGTTGCTATGGTAATACAAAATACAGGCTTTCAACTGGTAGTAGAAAATGTTGGGTGTGAAATTTTCAAGATATTTTCAATGAAATTATTTAATGATTTGTATCTATTAGAATAAATTGTTTTGTGTGTTAATTAGAATTAGATCAATTGCTTTAAAATATTGGATTAATTTTGTCCTTCTCACCTAACTTGGTACCAATGGGTCAATGGTTCTGTAGGTGCTGTACTCAACCAGATGGTCTGTTGTGAACCAGCAAAGGCAACATCAAACCAAAAAGCCAATCCATGGCATGTGCCAGACTCTAGAATATGAAACTCCAAAGGAATATCAATAGTGTGAAGGTCTGTTTCTTCTGCTTCCAAGAAATCCACTACATGCCTTATAGATTTACTCATACATATTCTAACATCAAAGGTGTCCACTATAGGTTGCCGAAAGTATTCTTTCACAGCACAGTTCTGTAGGGCAGACAAATTCACACCATGGAAACAGGTTTGAAACCAAAAGTTAGCTTTGCTATATTGTTCCATGTAAAGTGCATCATCAGTAAAGGGGGCTACATGTAAATCTCCTCTTGAAGGATACATTTTCCCACAAGGGCTCAGCCACTTTTTTGCATTCAAGTAAGATTCTAACATTCTTTCATTGTATAACATATAACCCATTGGTTCAGATATGATGACATCAACCTTCTCAGGCAATTCAATTTCTTCAATTTTTCCTGGTATCACTTTTATGGAAGTGGATAGATTATTGGCTTCTACTAATTTCTGTGCATAATGAGCCATAGTTGAGGCTTCTACAGCATAAATTCGCTTGGCACCTGCTTGTGCTGCAAAAAAGGATAGGATTCCAGAGCCTGCACCAACATCTAACACTATTTTATCTTTGAAGTCCTCTAAATTACACAATATTGCTCTTTGATAGGTATAAGTTCTAACAAAGTCTTGAAGCATGTTTTGTTGCTGTGACAAATAACCATAAAACTGGAAATACTGGGTTGCAGATGAATCTTCAGTTCTTACAGAAAATACAGAGGCATCTCTTCCAGATTTAACTTTTGCAATTTCTACTATGAACTGCCTAGCTTCTTCTTTACTACCAAATCGAACTAATAATGAATCATTATCAATAGTAAATAAATAGGAAGATGAACCAACTCTACAACACTCAGTAGTTGACTCCACAGGAAACTCTAGTAGCTGATTTGATTCATCAATTTCCAAAATTCTTATGCTAATACCCTGTGGGTCATAGTCTGCTCTCAATTTTACTTTCCTATTATATTTTGGAACTGTTTGGTCGTTTTCATTCACATTAAAAACTTCTACAATCCACATTTTAAGCGCCATTTCTTAAAAAACCTCACAACGGTCTTAGGTTATTCTCGAGAGGAGATACAAATCTAGACTATAAAACGCCGGATTACGTAGGATAAAGCTAATCTCAGGGTTTTCAATTGATGTTTTGTTATGCCGATCCAATATGAAGATTCTGTTGTACACAAGAAACGAACATCAGCACACAAAGCATAATTATTAAATTGAATATTTTTGGAAATTTTTTTTTGTAATCCGAAAATCCGTCACGTCAACGTCTTGTCAATGTCAAATCAAGATGTGACAAGTGACAGCCTGACAGCAGTGGTGATTGGTGACAGCTCGTTACATTTCTGTTGATTTCTGTGGCATCATTAAAGTATTCTGTGTTTCAAAATTGATGTCTGTTTTCAAGGTCGCAATTGTCAAATTGACAAAATTACAATAAAGTCATCCCAACTTCCAGTTGGGAATAATAAATATCGAAAACATCCTAAAATCTCCGAATATTCACAGAAAAATTAAAAAAGTTGTGACTGTTTGGTATGACCGATTAAATTAAACATAATGACACAAATCAGGTAACTTTTTCGTTCACCTGTCTGCCTTTTCTTCCTCTATAATGTACCAAATCCTGAAGAAGTGTTGATTTGTATATTATTCTTTTTTTCCTCACTGTGTTATTATTTTCTAGGAAGAGAGGAAGAAATCTTCAAGAGGATGAAGTTGAATTTATGCCCTTATCGAAAAGAATCAATAATCTCCACATCAATAACCCCATGTTGTTAGAAAATAGATCCATAAATACAGTGGAGTGGGGCCCTGGTCCAACAAATTGTATAAGCAGCATGCCTGAATCTCCACCAACTTCTGAGCAAAGTTTAGACTGGAATATGCTACAGTGTCAACAACAATATTCTCCTGATCTGAATGCAAATCAGAATCCACATTATTTCAATATAAATAAGTTACTGTTTGAGATGTATATCCAAAGGGTTCAGAGAGGGGGTTGTCATCAGATTTGAAACTGTTGTTCTCCTGGCCATAACGATTTGTGAATAGTCAAAATAACTGCTGATTCTGATTCATTCATTCCTGTTCATTGTGTTTCAGAATTCACTGGAATTTTGATTATTTATATATATATTATTATCTATGATGATCATCTTATTTTATTATAATTTGTAATTGTCTATTTATATACATCATGATTTTGGATCCAACCTTTAGTTTTCACTTTTTTACATAATTAAAATTACCATTACCTTATTCTGATGATGATTTATTTGTATTAGAATAGATGAGAGATCAATAAAAAACTATATATAGGTACTCATTTCACCTTATGGATTTATCACTATGCAGTATTTTACAATATTTATGAAGGAATATTCCAATTTCCAAGGGATCCAGAAATATTTGATATAAGTAATAATATATGTCTAATGCTGGTGAAATATTTGATATGCATTCATTCAATTTATATGTAATGTATTATTAGCCAATGAAAACTTTCAAAATGTTATGGCAAATGATACATGTAGAAGAATGATCTTATACTCCTCTCATTATTTATATTTTTTTTATTTATTTTGCAATGCAACAGGTATTTAATTGCATGAATTCCATATATCATTGAAAAAAATTTATTAATTTCTTATGATCAGAAAATATATACAGGTACCCAAATCATATATATATAGTGATTCCTTGATTCCTATATTGTTTCCTTTTAGAAATTAAATAAAATGGTGTAAAAATATATGTTATTTGGTGGAAGCATCAGGTTGTATTTATTATGGAAATAAATATTAGCATCAGAGGATCTGCATGATGTTATATTATATAATAATAAATGAAAATTATGCATCTTTCCTACATCAACAACTACACTCTATTCTATTATAAGTAAAATACATGCAGCACCTACTTTATATATTTGAGAGCATATTAATATGTATAGATAATATAAAATATAAAATCAATTCAGCATCCAAAATGGACAATGAGGTGTCAGACAACTTTCTACTTCATTTACGTTGGCAGTTTGAGAATAAAAATCAAAATATATGTAGCTCGAAATGCTCAAACCACCCTGTACATAATTATATTCAAAAGAAATATCTAAAAAACTATGTTATCAACTAAAATCGATAGCCTATTAAATTTTGTAACAACTACAATGTATTTTCACTGTTATTCAACACAACAAGTCCACTGTTAGTCTTGGAATTTCGAAAAACTTTGGAAAAACACGTGACATCTATTTTGCCGCCAAAATTTGAACGCCATCAGTTGCACATATCACGTGCCCTCTACGCAAGAGCAAACTTCTTGGCAAGCCTCGTCGACATAACTGACATGAACCGTTTACTTTGATGACGAAGTCTACTCGCTTTGTGTTTGGCCGTAGAAGAAGCTTCCTAAATATCATCAAATTCGATCGGAAGGTGAGTGAGATTGATATAATTTGTAGTTAATTAACGGGGTGACCAACACCAATCTCGGACAAACATTTCGCGGGTCGTACTTGTTTTTGGGGTAGGGAGCTTCGTCGCCGTGATGTAGAGTTTTGTGGAAGGGGTGCTGCCAGTGTATTCTGGTGGGATACATTCATCCCCACATTCATCCAAAACCACCACCACTTTCCCTCCATTCCATTTCCCACAGCGTCATCGCCATAGATACTATCCGCATCTCCCAGACTTGGAATTTCATTAGATTAGGATTCATTTCGTTACTAGAAATTGAAGGATCCATTTTATATTTTATTCGTTTCAAGGTCATTCACCTATCGGAATTTGATATCGTTTAATTGCACGTACCTATCTATGGTGTACGGTGTAGAATAAACGATGCTTTCGATGCTTGCTCAACCATAATCCCATTCCAGATAATTATGTACATATTCACCTTGAAAAAAATGCATTCCTATTTCCTTGTTTCTAGGTAATAAAGTATACCTATCTACCTATCTCATGTAGGCAACATGTAGGTATATACCTACTTATTACCTATCTACCCTAGAAACCCTTGGCATTTTAATGTAGAATCCGAAGTACCTAGGTAGAATCATTAATTATTTTCGATTATATTGTTTATTAGAGATTACCTATGCTTATTATGAATCTGTATTGAAAATTCAAATTGAAAGTAATTCCAGTATCACCCCGGTATTCGACATTGTTATGCCAATTGCCAATAGACAAAGCTGAGACTACACGGTTATGCACTGTGGTTATGCCTTTTAGGTCCCAATTCAGACTAGCGTCTGCGGACAGATGCAAGTAATAACTCCGTGGTAGGGGAACGTTAGTTAACTTGTGTCGAGTCTAATATAAGGAAGGCATTTTTTTTTAACAATCAATCGACCTAGATGAACCTTTTTTCTTGAAGAAGGAGAATTTTTCTTGAGGAAGGAAAATATTGTTTCTGCATAAAAAATGAGAAGGCGGTACATATACTAAAAATTGGAACGATACAGAGAAGATTAGCATGGCCCCTGCGCAAGGATGACACGCAAAATCGTAAAGCGTTCCACATTTTTAGTATATGTACTCGCTTCGGCGGTACATATACTATTTATGAGTATATCTGTACTTGTATTAACACCAAATAAAATATTCTATTCTATTCTAACCTAACCTAACCGAACCTCACCTCTGGCCTAAACATAGAAAACCCCTAAATGAACCTATTTCCCATAGAGAATATTTTTTAGAAATCACTTGAGAACAAGAAAAAAATAAAAAAAAGATGAGCCTCGCACGGATTCGAACCCCGGCCCTCCGGCTTGGCATGCCGATGCTCTGCTTACTGAGCCAACCGGTTGCTTACGAGACGAAGTATGATGAAGTCATTCAGTCGGCGCCGCATAACGCCAGTCGCATCTACTGCCCACTATAACGGCCTCCCACCACGGAGTTATTACTTGCATCTGTCCGCAGACGCTAATCCAATTCAGTACATGGGCGTCGTTTTTAGAGCGGGCAGGGGGGTGATAATAAGAGAGCCGGCTGCAGATTTCTACCATTAGATAACGAAATGATATACAGGGTGTTTCTTAAGTACGTGTAGAAAATTCAGGAGCATGTTGCTGACGTCTAAATAGGAAGAAAAGTGCGTATAAACATATGTCCGAAAGTTATCCGTTTCTGCGATACAGATTGTCAAAGTTGAATTCTTATTGGGAGAGTTCAAAAAAGCAAGTACAAATTAATAAGTAAGAATCATAATATATTCTGCCTACATTCCAATGTTGAATGAAGAAGAATATTGAATGAAAGAAGAAAAATGCATTGGCGTATCTTTTCTGATATTCACTAGAGACGACTTACGAGCCACATGGAAATAATTCGTATGCATCGATTATTTCGAATCCCAATAACTCGAAAACAGTTGCTCGCAGCGACCTCTACCAAGAATATATTTTTTACACAAAAGTGTTCTAGAAATCTATTTTTTTACTATGAAACGTAATACAGGTACGCACAAAAAAGTTATAACTTTTCAAAAGACTCGAAAGACATTTAGGTGGCGCCACCCCCACGAAAGAGACAAACTAACATAAAATTTGATATTGTCATTGAAAAATACCCCTAGATACCAAATATCATTCCGATATCACAATTATTTTGAAATTTATTAACAAAAAACAAAAATAATAATTCAACTTTGACACTCTGTATCTCAGAAACGAATAACTTTCGGCCATATATTTATACGAACTTTTCTTCTTATTTTGACGTCAGCAACATGCTCCTGGATTTTCTACACGTACTTAAGAAACACCCTGTATATGTGTATATGTCCTAAATAAAGGAAAGTAAAACATTGTAGTTCATCGAACGGCACCTGTGCCAATCACTATCCAGAGCAAAATTATAAAGCTCGTTCGACATATTGAATCCGCCATCTTGAATTTTCAAACCATCAGATTTTTTCTGCCATCCACAACGTTTGATGACAGGATCATAATCTCCGAACCCGAAAACTCCCAGATACCAATTTTGAGTAGAATCGGATCATAATTTGAATTTTCCAATTTTGACAAAAGAATCATAATTTCCCACCCCAAAAACCCCCAGATACCGCAATTTTGAATGGAATCGGATAATAATTTCAAAACTAGTTCGCCATATTGGATCCGCCATCTTGAATTTTCCAATTTTGATAAAAGAATTATAATCTTCAACCCCAAAAACCCCTAGATACCAATTTTGAATGGAATCAGATTATAATTACAAAACTCGTCCGCCATATTGGA